CATTGGACTGAGGTGCCAAGTCCTTTTCCGGGGTTACTTCCCTTCTTCTTTTAATGCCACTAGGACCAGCTTCGAGTCCTGGACTTCTGTCGCACAACATATCTGTCCATAGAGGTCTGTACCTCTCGTTCCTTTATGACATTCCTAAAGTGTTTCAAAACATTGTCAGTGTAATAGTCACCAGCACGGCTTGCAATAGCTGTCTGAGGGTGATTTTCATCCATAAAGGTTTGCACTTTAAGCCACATTGCACAGATTTCCTTAATCTTTGAAGTAGGCAACTTCTTCAATTTCTCTCTCCCCTCCTACGAAGCAGTTTCCTCAGGTCTGGCCTCTTGCTGTTGAAGATGATCTAGCAGCTCATCAGTGGTTAGTTCTTCATTGTCCTCCTCCACCAACTCTTCCACATCTTCCCCACTAACCTCCAACCCCAAGGACTTCCCCAATGCCGCAATTGATTCCTCAACTGGCATACGCTTCTCAGGGTTAGCTTCAAATCCTTCAAAATCCCTTTTGTCTACACATTCTGGCCACAGTTTCTTCCAAGCAGAGTTTAAGGTCCTCTTAGTCACTTCCTCCCAAGCCTTACCTATAAGGTTTACACAATTGAGGATATTAAAGTGATCTCTCCAAAACTCTCTTAGAGTCAATTGAGTTTATGAGGTCACTACAAAGCACCTTTCAAACAAAGCTTTTGTGTACAGTTTTTTGAAGTTTGCAATGACGTGCTGGTCCATGAGCTGCAGGAGAAGAGTTGTATTAGGAGGCAAAAACTTGACCTTAATGAAGCTCATGTCCCCACAAAGTCGCTCTGCCAAGTCTGTAGGATGACCAGGGGCATTGTCTAACACCAGGAGGCACTTAAGGTCTAATTTATTTTCAATTAGGTAATTTTTCACAGTGGGGGCAAATGCTTGGTGTAACCAGTCATAGAAAAAGTCCCTAGTGACCCATGCATTACTGTTTACCCTCCACAGCACACACAAATTAGCCTTGAGGATATTCTTTTGCCTGAATGCTCTGGGAGTTTCAGAGTGATAGATACACCAATAAAGGCTTCACTTTGCAATCACCACTAGCATTGGCACACGTTAACAGAGTAAGCCTGTCTTTCATAGGCTTATGTCCTGGGAGTGCCTTTTCCTCCTCAGTAATGTAGGTCCTGCTTGGCATTTTCTTCCAAAACAGGCCTGTTTTGTCACAATTAAACATTTGTTCAGGTTTCAGTCCATCACTGTCTATGTACTCCTTGAATTCATGCACATATTTTTCAGCTGCTTTGTGGTCTGAACTGGCAGCCTCACCATGCCTTATCACACTATGTATGCCACTACGCTTCTTAAATCTCTCAAACCAAACTTTGCTGGCCTTAAATTCACTCACATCATTACTAGTTGCAGGCATTTTTCTAATTAAATCCTCATGCAACTTCCTAGTCTTTTCACTTATGATTGCTTGAGAGATGCTATCTCCTGCTATCTGTTTTTCGTTTATCCACACCAATAACAGTCTCTCAACATCTTCTATCACTTGCGATCTCTGTTTCGAAAACAAAGTTGCACTTTTGGCAAGAACAGCTTCCTTGATTGCCGTTTTCTTGGCCACAATAGTAGCGATGGTTGATTGGGGTTTACTATACAACCTGGCCAGCTCGGAGACACGCACTCCACTTTCATACTTAGCAATGATCTCTTTCTTCATATCCATAGTAATTCTCACCCTTATTCCTGTAGGGTTGGCACTAGAAGCTTTCTTGGGGCCCATGGTCACTTATTTTGCAGGTGAAATCACTAAAAATGCTGTAATAATATGAAATGTTCCGATTGTATGCTTAGATGTTACCGCGGAGGTTTGCTTGTAAACAATGCCATCGGCGGAACAAGTGAGGCTGGCTCAGGCCGCATATGGACGCGTCTCGGACGAATCGCATTGAGCGAGTTTTTTAGCGCTAGGCGAGGCAAAATTTTAGTGATAAAATGTATCGCTAGGCGGATTTAACGTTATGTGATGCCAACGTTAGGCGAGGGTCCACTGTACTAGTATGCATAAATTCTAGTGCCCTCAAATCTAGCAGGAGAAAGCTGGTAGGCTTACATATGAAAGAATGGGTCTATGTGGTCAGTGTGCACAGTATAAAAAAAATCCTGCAGCATACAGTGCATTATGAGAAAAAAAAACATTAACCATATTTTTGGTTTAAACAGCATCTTTGCACTGTATTTTCGTATGGTATTTATGGCTGTATTCTAGTTTTCCTGGTCTTATTTTATAGAATGGAAGACATATTACTGAAATTGAGACAATTTTGATTGGTTTCACAATGAAAAGTACCTTGAAATTGAGCTGAAAGTAGCAGAAATGTTCGATTTTTGCCAAAGTTCAAAAGTAAAACAAATCATGCTAAGCATCCAATACATGTCAACTGGTGAATCTGATATTCTTTCACAAGTGCACTGATATTATTATACCATTTCTACACTAATACAGTAGTCTGCATAACAGTAAATCTTCTATTTTTTGTGAGAATAAAAATTCAAAGTGGAAAGCAAAAGAAATGTAAGAGGGGCGTGGGGATGTGACTAATGAACAAAGGAAATGTTATTTTAGTGCCAGGAATGTCTTTCTTGTTTATTCTGGACCCTATTTGGAAATTGGCATCTTTTGAAATTTGTGTGAAATTGGCAAAATGCTAAATTCTGACCACTTTATTTGGATAGTTGAAATCGGTAAATGGGTGGTTTCTTGTACTCATTCGATAGACAAATGGAGTTCTAGCAAGATAGTTATGATTTTTGTCGACTAGTACACAGGATTTGGCCGAAAATGGAGCTCAAAGTGGCCAAAATTGCGATTCGTAAACATCGTCAAGACTGCTAACTTCGCAAAAGCATAATTCCGTAAGTTTT